CTGGGATGGGCACCTCATGTGCAAGTCCGGCCTCCTCGGGCCATGTTTGCACAGGCTGGGGCAGGAGCCTGGCTGCTCCGCTCTGTCCAACCGGGATGCCTCAGAGCTGGAGGCAGCAGGCAGCAACGGGACTTCCACCGCTTCATTAGCTCAGCAGGCACTGGGAGCCTCATTCCTTACTGGTCTTTTGGACAGGAGAAAGGATCAGCTTGATGTTAGCCAAGGACACAGGCTGACCACGCTCTCCAGAGACATGGGTGGGTGGCTGTGCCCAACACCAGGGCTGGCCCTCACCTTGCTTCTCAGATGATAAGATTGGAGGCAGCTTCACATATACCTCAGAAGTGGTGTGGGTCCATCGTGCGCCTCTTCCAAGCATCACATCCAGGCAGAGGGAGCTGCTCTGTGATGTGCCCCAGATGCATTACGTTCCTCCTCAGCAGCCAGCGAAGGGCTGTGGCTACCATAGCCAGGCAGCATGTTTGAGTTTTTTGCTTTCACGGGATGGGAAAAGGATGTGAGTTAATGTAGGGTTGCAGGGTATCTCCATAGCTATTTCCAGCAGAGCTGAGCCAAATGCAACTCTTGAGTTAACAAGAGCTCTTGTTAACTTCTTGGATACAAAGCACACTAAAGCCCACAGTGGCATTTCCAAGAGGCAGACTGAGACTGGGCCCTGTAAGCCCTTCTCTGAAAGGGCTTTTTTCTGGGACTGGGAAGGATGACCTTGTAATTAAGTGGCTGCATGTCTCTGAGACATTTTGGGAGGGGAGTGTGTGCTAATTGGGAGAAGCTTCATCCAGAGCTGTTCACCTCTGCCTGGTCTGCACCAGACCCTCTGCAGCCCCTAGAGAACCAGCACTGGGAAATAGTCCCCCCTCCAGCCCACTCCCCTCCGGTCTCTGTTGGGGTGAGTTCAGTGTTTCCTGGAACAGATGCGCCAACATTTCCTTTCCATTTAGAGACTTCTCAGCCTCTTTACCTGGGCCATTACCGTACTGGGTTTGGGATGGCTTTTGAAATTACATGCTCCAATAGAGGGATGCAGCAGTGAAAGCCGAAGGTTTGGCTCGCTGTGCTGGGTTCAGGCTGCTGGGGGGACCTGGAGGGAACTTGGGTGACCCTGATGGGTGAGCTGAGTGGAGCAGAACATGTAACAAGAGATGGATGTGTTCCATGCAAGCCTCCACTGAGGCGCTTGGGAAGGAAGCTTCTGATGCAGTGGTGGACCTGGTGTGGATGTCCAGTGTCTTGTGCTCCACTCTGGGCCCAGTCCTGCAGACACCCCAAAGCCCCATGACAGCTTCCTGGGCCACTGTCAGCACTGACAGCGGCTGAAGGTTTGGCAGCACTGGCACAGGGAGTCAGGGCATCTCACCTCTGGTGATTAATTATCCCCTGAGCCTGCTGACTCCTTCACCTCCAGCCATAATTCAAAGGCTCTTAGAAAATCTGTGTTTTTCTTCTCCCTGTACCTTTTAATTAGTTACACATGTCCCCAGGACTATTTTTTTGTGGTGCACTTAGAAAATTAAAAGAAAATGGTGATCAGACTTCCTCATTACCTGCTGCTCTTGGTTCTGAGCTGCTGCTGGGTGTTTGTCCCCTTGGTCCCAGGGAGACAGGGGGCCTGTGAGGATACCCTACCCAGCAATGTCTCTACAGAGCAGTTTGCTCTGGAAGGAGAGAACCCTGATTTCTGCCCTTGCTGCTGGAGCTGTGTGTCCTCTGAAAGGCTCAGAGAAACGAGAGGGGCTCTCCAGCACAAACCGCAGTTTCTGGAGGGCTGGTGTGGTGCTTGATGGCTGCCTGCACCCTGGTTTCTGTATCCCAGTGCCTGCATTTCACTGCCTGCACCCCATCGCCTGCACCTCTCTGCCCACATCCCACTGCCCGCACAGCGTTGCCAAGGTGACGGCAGGTAAAGCTGCCCAAGGAGCATTTGCACAACCTTCCCCATCAGCACCGTGCCTTTGGAAAAAAAAAGGAGGGAAAAAAAACCCCTAAACCCAACCTAGAACAAAGACAGAAGCCATCTGATCCTATCCTGTTTGTGTGGACAGCACCAGCATTTTCTCCTATTGCTGTACACAGCAGCAGGATCTGACCCTGCTCTCAATGCAAATGAGGGGTTTGGTCTCCCCTGCATAAGTCCTTATGGATTCAGTGGGTTTCCCAAGGTTGGAAAATATAATGTCCCTTCTCAGCCCAAATTGACCCTGGGTGAGTTGCAAATTCAGCCTTCACCTCTGCTGCATCTGTATCTGCCTTCAGCGCACAGTCCATCACCTGCACGGCAGACTGGGGATGTGCATGGTGGCAGGGGGGCTGCAGGACTCAGCCCCCACCCCACTGCAGCATGCAGCCATGATGGTCCTCACTGGCTTCTCCTGGCACTCGTGTTTCCACATGCTCCATTGGAAATTCCTCCTGCCTTGGTCTTCCTCCCAGGTCTCCAGAAGGGACTGTGTGCTCCCACCATCTCCAGTCGCACCATATCCCTTGGGACCAGCTGTGGTTTGCATTCCCTGAGGAAAGCAAAAACCTGCTGGCAGCCATGCTGGCTACCCCATCAGCCCCAAATCACCCTCACTCTGCAGAAACCAGGCGATGGAGACCCTCTACTGCGAGGGCCCATGGCTGCTCCCCTGATCCTGGCCAGTGCATTTGGACCCAGTCCAGGCTCTGCTTGTTCAGGATATGCTGTTCTTTGCCAATGCTCAGAACAATTCAGTTTCCATCCAAAACCAGAAGACAAAATACAAACACAGGGGAAAGTGCAGACTGCCTCGCAGCCCAGCACTGTTGCGAGTGCCACGAATTCATCTAAAGCAAAATCTGTTTGGAGCTTTCCTTGCAGATCACAGATGCAGGAATTCAGCCTGTTGGGATGAGGGGTTTTCATAGTCTCTGCAGGGAAATATTTGCTTTAAAGGAGTTGGATTAAAGACCCCCAGCTCGAGTCTGTCTCTCCCCACTGCCACCAACATGACCAGCCTGTGCCAAGTGCACGCTGCATGCTGCTGCTGCCATGTGGCACGGGGGACAATGGGGCAAGTGGCCAGCCTGCTGCATGGCCCCCATTGTACACCACACTCGGCAGCAACCTCTGCAATGTGCTGGTGCTTGCAGGCTGTGCCAGGCCTTCCCCATACCCACAGCCCTGGGGTGATGGGACCCCACTGCCCAGTGCTAGGCACACTGCACCACTGCTGTAACCCTCACCAGCTCCCAGCCTGGTGATGGGTAGTGGTGGGTGATGTTTCAGAGATACAGCTCATGGCTATATCTGCTGCATTGAGGCACTCCCAAAGCTGTGCCTGCTTGGGCACCCAGCCTGGAAAGCCGCAGAGGGATGAGCCTGTCCTGGTTTCAGCTGGAATAGAGTTAATTTTTCTCCTAGTAGCTGGTAGAGTGCTATGGTTTGACTTTAGTCTGAGAACAATGCTGATAACACACTGATGTTTTAGTTGTTGCTAAGTAGCACTTACACTGATCAAAGACTTTTCATTCTCTAACGTCAATGAAAAGGGGCACAAAGAGCCAGGAGGAAGCAAAGACAGGACACCTGGCCCAAACTAGCCAAAAGTGTATTTCATACTACAGCACAGTATAAAAACTGGGGGGAGTCACCCAGAAGGGCAGATAGCTGCTCAGGTCAGGTAGGGTGTCGATCAGCAGGTGCTGAGCAGTTGCTTTGTTCATCACTATCAGTTATTGTTTCGTTTCCTTTTCCCTTTGGTTTTATATTCTCTCCCCTTGTTATTTCCCTTATCATCATCATCGTTATTATTATTATTTTATTATATTACATTGTACTTTAGTTATTAAGCTGTTCTTATCTCAACCCACGGGTTTTACATTCCTTTGATTTTCCTCCCCATCCTGCACGGGGAGGGGGATAGAAGGGGGCGAGTGTGGTACTGACTTACTGGCTGGGTTTAAACCACAGAGCCCTGCCATGCCCCCGGCCCAGTGAGCTCAGGGAAAGGCTGGCTGCAGGAAACCATTCCTTGTTGAATCCCACCAGCCCCATGTGCTGCCAAGCTCCAGTGGCGCAAGGCTGGGTACTCTCCATAAAACCACTCCACACCCCTCACCAGCCTGCAGCTGGAGAGAGGAAAGAAAAGGAGGAGGGAGAGAAAGGCCCCCATGAAATGGAGATTTATGGTCACCGGTGACAAGTGCAGAAGACTTGCAGAGACCTCCAGGTTTTATGAGCAATGGTTTAGAGTTGACTGGCTGCTTAAATAAGTCTCTGCTAATCCCCAGCACACTGCATCCAGCTCAAATTGGAAAAGAAAAAGGTTTAGGGGGAAGACAGGGGGAAAATGGGAGCATAAAACATATTTTACATCATGTCAGAGGAATATGTAGTTTATAACTATATTATGTTAAACAAACACTACAGGCAGTCAGAAAAGGGGGGGGGGGGGGGATGATGAAGCAGAAGAGCTTTGCTTTGAGCAGCAAAGGTGGGTTTTAATCCAGTGCACACAGCTGAGAGCAGTGTTTCTGCTCCTCTCCAGAGAGGTGCTGGCACCAGGACCACCACATCCAGCCATGCCAGGAGAGGGGACAGCCGATGTCACCATATCTGTGGCAAGGCGGCACAGAAGTGATCTACAGAGCCACAGGATCACCTTCATTTTTACCTTCCTGTATGACTCTGCCCTTCTCACCCAGCAAAGGAATCAGGGCTTGCTGGAGCCAGACCTTTCCTTGCTGGGCTATGTGTGTCTGCCCCAGCCCCTCCTGCACTCTCACAAGTGAGGACATGGGACACAGCACCCCGGGGGACCCCGGACATCCTACCATGCAGCCCCAAGCAAGCCCACGCAGGTCGTTGTGCTGGAGTACATGGTCCCCTCAGGAACAGCCTGCAGCATCCCCACAACAACAACCCACTCAACCGCTCCCACCTCACCTGCCCTGGGAGGAGATTTAAACCCTCCCCAGCCCTGCTGGAGCACAAGGCTTGGCAGCAGCAACAAAAGGTTGCCTTCAGGAAGCTGGGTTTCCTGGAGAAAGGAGCTTCCTTCTTCATCCTCTTCTCCATTAGCATTGCTGAAGTGAAGGTAGGACATGTTTAGGGCCCTGGTGAGAAGAGCAGCAGCTCTGGCAGGGTAGTGAGCAGCCGCAGGTAAGGCCGTGCCTTTCAAGGGATGTTGGAGCTTGGGGTGAATCAGCTTCATGGGGAAAACTTCCTCTCCCAGGGCTGCTCTGCCCTGTTCTCTCCAGGTGCTTGCTGCTTTGGTGCCATCACCCCCTTTCTGGCGGCACTGCATGGAGCACAATTATGATGCTCTTCCCTCACTGTCTCTAGCAGTGAGCAGCCAGCTGCTTCCATCCACATTGACCTTTCTCTTCCCTTCCCTTCTCTTCTGACCTTTCTCTTCCCTTCAGCCATCAACCAGCCCTGAGGCCACCATGAACAGGCAAACCAAGGAGTGACCAGCCCTGAGCCCATCTCTGATGGGCAGAGGGAGGAGTGGGATGCAGGAGGACCAGGGCCGTGCACTGTCCTGCCGATGTTCTGCCCCAGTATGGCACAAGGGATGCAATTTCGCCATCCCACCACTCAGCCCAGATGCAGAGCTGCCAGCAGCAGCAGGAGGAGGGGAGGTCAGATGAGTCAGTGCCCCCGCAGACAGACCTGTGTTGTGCCTGGATGGCTTCCTGTCTTGAGAAATGCTTGCTTTCATTCACCAGGGTCTCTTGTACAGCAGCTGGAGGCTACCAGGAAATTTATTAGACTTGTAAAACTTCAGGGCTCAAATCTAATTGTCTCCTTCTCCCCCACATCCCTTAAGGGAAACTCTTTGATTTAAGCCCCGATTCCAAACTGAGCCAGCGAGTCAGCACTTGGTGCTCAAAGTCAAATGAGCAATTTATGCGAGGGCCAAAGGATAATTACAGCCCCCATTGTTCAGAGGTCAGGAACCTGGGGAGCAGCTCCGGTCCTCATAGAGGTGTACCCATTGCTTGAGAACACAGGCCCATCTCACACAATTGGGACTGGGACATAGCTTAGGAGATCCCAATTCACCATGGCAGCAGCCAAGGACAGAAATGTGGTGCTTATTCTTCAGCACAGGCATCACCTTGAAGGTGAAGAAAAAGTCCATCTTTTTCTTCAGTGGGCTCTGCTTGCATGGCTGTGAGCCCTAGAATTTGCAGAGGATCACAGAAACTACCATAATGGGATTGAAGTTGTGTTAATCTCTTAAAGACTTCCAGCTGAGCAGGGTTTTGCTCAGCCATACAAAGCAGAACCTGCTGGGTGAGAAATGGAGAAGTGGCCAAGTACTGGATGGGAAGAGAAGGTGGCTCAGAAGCTAAGGGGCTGAAGGCTTGTGTCAGACAAATAAGCCAGCTACTGACAGAATCAGAGGGTAAAAGTGAGAAATCTCACGGGCTGTGATAAAGACAGTTTAATAGGTAAAGCAAAAGCTGTGCATGCAAGCAAGGCAAACCAAGGAATTCATTCACCACTTCCCATTGCAGGCAGGTGTTCAGCCATCCCCAAGAAAACAGGGGTCCATCACACGTAACAGTGACTTGTGAAGACAAGTGTTGTCACTCAAATGTCCTTCTTCCCTCCTTCCCCAGCTTTATATGCTGAGCATGATGCCATCTGGTATAGAATATCCCTTTGGTCAGTTGGGGTCAGCTGTCCCATCTGTGTCCCTTCCCAACATCTTGTGTACCCCCAGCCTACTCACTGGTGGGGTGAGAGGCAGAAAAGGCCTTGACACTGTGTAAGAACTGCTCAGCAATAACAAACATCCCTGTGTGGTCAACACTGCTCCCAGCACAAATCCAAAACATCACCCCATACTAGCCAGTATGAAGAACATTAACTATCCAAGCCAAACCCAGCACAGCTTGTGTCCTTTCTGCAAGGACAGCAGGAGGTCAGGACCTGCAGGTGGGCTGAGGACATTTCCTTTGCAGAAAATTAATGATTTTGGAAGAGAGCTCTTCCTGGGACTGATGCTCTTCCCATCGTGATGGAGGAGCTTCAAGGGTTGGCTGGGGGGGCAGAGAGAGGATGAGCTGCTGCTAGGATATCTCATGGGTTATAGGGGCAGAGGACAGGACTCGATAGGCAGGCTGTAATGCCAGTGCTCTGTGTCACTGGCCCGTCACCAGCTCTATCAGCTGTGACCACTGGGGCTTTGTTGCCTAAAGCAGCTTCATTACAGCAAATTATAAACTCGAGTAGATTTTTCAGCTCTGCCTGTGGCCTGCCTGGCACTAGCAAACATGCTTCCCTCAGCAGTCTCTTTCTTCCCCCTTTTATTCTCTGTTTAAAGATGAACTTTGCTTTCCTGTTCAACAATCAAACTTTGCATGAGCAGCACTGGCCATGGCTGAGCTGCCAGGCTCAGCATGTTCCTTCCATGCACGCAGCGGGGTTCTTCACCCATCCCTGTCCCAGCCTGTGAGTGCTCAGTCCCAGGGAGGGTAGGGAGTGATGCTACAGGGGTGCTTCAGGGCAAGTGCCAACCCTGTAGAGCATCCAGCCTTCTCCCCCCTGGGTCTCACACGCACTGGGTGCTTGCTCTGTAGCATATTGGCATGCCCACGGCAACGGCTGTGCTCAAGGAGAGGCTGGAGGATGGTTGCCAAATGGGGATGTTGAGTGTGGAGGCCTGGGGAATGGGGCTGCTGCTCCTGATGGCTCTGAGCTTGCCAGACCAAGGAAGGATCCCATGTGGTATGCACATCCAAAACCCAAACTTGCAACCTTCCCCGACTTCTGGCTTCCTGATACTCGCAAGCTGCTCACAGGCAATTTGGAAATAAGAAAGGAAGTTTAAATTCGCTCACCAGAAATAGCTTATTTCTGGGGTTGTGAGTTGTCTGGGAGCTGCTCAAAATTTTGTCATTTGCAGTTGGGAGAAGGAAAAATAAAAGAAATAAAAGAGAAATTAGAAAAAGCAAAATCCTGCGAGGGCAGAAAGCAGAAGCCTGGCTGGAGCCCAGAGCCATGTATTAGAGCAGGTGCCCAGGAGATGCTCTGAGCCATCCAATGCACTTCTGAGCTGTGGTCCCCAAGCATCGTGCCATGGAGGGGGGTGACAAGCCATCCACCACAGTGCACTCTGCTGTGCCTCTCATTAACAGAAATAAATGGATACAGTGCAGAGAGGGGATCAGGGTAGATTTATGGGGAGGGATTAAAAGAACTAAATATACATAGTTCGGTAGAGAGACATTTAAAGGAAAGGGCATGTGTGGATAGGGAGGGAATGAAAAGTATAATAACAGGCTATAAATATTTGAAGGTGTAGGCACCAAGAAGCAGATTGATTTATTCGTGGCAATGTAAATGGGATGCAGCTAAGGGAGAAGAAGAGACACGAAGGGGAGAAGCTCTAGACCATTCCCTGCAGAAGGAGTAAGGACCCCATTGCCTGGGCTCGCTAATCAGAGACGGTACAGAATAGGCAAGGGAACACTTGCTGCCCAGGGTTTGGCCCAAGCAGCATGCAGTGCTCTGCTTCTCTGCTATTATGGCTGCAGACATTGCCTGCAGAGGTGGCCTGGGCCCTGTGGACCCTATCAAACTCAACACCGTGAGATTATTCCATTTTGTTTCTTCCCTAACGGAGCTCAGACAACGCCTGCACTGCTCCTCCTCCTCCTTCCCCCTGCCCCTCGTGGTGCCAAGCTGTTCATGTGTAAGGAGAACATCTCGGGCAGGACGCAGGCTCCAAGTCCTGCCCAGTTTCGCAGTGGCCCCCCTCCTCCTTATCCCCCCACGGTGTCACGTTCTCCCGCCTGAGCACGCCACGCTGGGTGGCAGAGCCTGGCTGGCATCGCTGCTGCCGCGCTCGGCGCGAACGCGACAGATGGGAGTGAGGAAGGCTCACTCTGCCTGTGCCAGGGTGAAAATGGCTCAGCTGCAAATGAATATTTCCAGAAACCTCTTCTTCCTTGGTTTATAATTATGAGCAGATTTTCTTGTGGATAAAAGGGAGGCTGGTTTCAAAAAAGAAATGACCCTGTGTGGGAAGAACTGATTCTTCTTGGAAAAAATATGGTGCCTTGAGCATGGTTAACTCTTCTGCTTCCTCCAGGCAGGAACAGATTCACCGCATACAGATTCCTGTCCGCCAGGTCCAAGCCTGAGGCTTGGCACCGGCCACCTCCCAGTGCAGGAACTGGAGTCTGTTTTAAAACAACAAGTTCCTCTTTGCAGGCTGTGCGTGTAGGGGACTGCAATCCTTCAGTGAAGCTCCTCTTCGGAAGCCCCTGGAGCAGGCAGGACTCCACACACAAAGGTCTCTGGCATCATGACCAGGAGGCACTGGTGATAGTTGTGAGACTGTGGCATTGCCTGTCTGGCACTGGCCATGGATGGCCCTGCTCCACACAAGGGACAAAACTGCCCCCCATGGCTAATGGTGATGCCTGCTGTGGCTATTGGATGGGGAATTTCTGCTGCAGAGACCACTACGAATTGGATTTGGTGTATTTAAACCCAAACTGTTGTTCTCTGGAGGGCTGCTGGGGCTGCTTGCTGCTGCCCCATGGGTGAGCACTATGCTCCATCCCAAGGGTGGGTGCCTTTGCCCAGGGAGAGCCACTCTTGCCTCTGGAGATGAGCCAAGGGATGTCTGTAGCCACATCCCATCGCATCCCTGTGCATCACTGTTGTGCATTACCACTTTAGCAGCGTACGAGTCAGGAGGTCTGGCAGACAGGATTCCCTTCCCTGTACTGAAATTATCTTTGATATGTCAGAAATTGCAAGGAAAATTTGTGAACAGACGTGAAAGGCAAAGGGGTCCTTGGAAGTTTTCCCCAGCGTGAGAGAAGCTCTTGAAGTTTATTCATATAACAGCCATCTTATTAAAGAGCTTCTCAGAGAACTTTGAACAGCTTTCTATATGGAAACAAATCTGCCTCTATAGCAGCAGTTTTCTGTGTTTCTTTTGATAACGATAATGATCTTACATTTCTGTACAGCCTTTCATCTTGCCGGATCTTAATGAGCTTTACAGATAAATGTGCAAGCTCTACGCAAAGATCAATTCGCCCAACAATGCCAGGCAGCGGCTGCTGGGGTGGATGTGGCAGGTGTCTGTGCAGCCCGCTGCAAGAGCAGGGATGGGAGAGATCAGGTTTTGTTGTGATTTTTCGTTATTTATTGAAAATGCAGGCAGCATTTTAGAGAAGGCGGAATTTGGCAGGCTGGGATTTGGCTGGGACAACAAAGTTGTCTCTCTGTCTTTCCTTTTGGAGCTGTTCCTGCCCTCAATACATATTTCACCCTTCTCCATGCCAGGGAAGGGATTGCTTCCCAGTGGCTGAAACTCCTGCCTGGCGTGGAGGCGGACAGCTTCAGCTCTCCGCTAAATGTTTAATGTGTTTTATGGGAAGGGTGAGGATGCCAAGAAGAGAGCGCCATGCCAGGACAGCTGATGGCCTGAGACCGTGGTGCTCAGCTGAGCAGAGAGGCTCGGATGGAGGCACCGCATCCGTCACAGCTGCCCGTGGGTGTGCTTCCCGCTTGTTCTCACTATTTCTTGCCGATGCCCCAAACGATGCCGTGGGTCGGGATCTGGTCCCTAATCCGCAGCCTCTGTCCTAGCAGGGTATTTCTAGCAACTGTTGTGTTCAAGGGTAGAAGCATCACCTTGAAAGCAAGGCTCTGTGTCCCTGGAGTCTCATGTGCTCCCAATCCATCAGGCCAAATTTAGCATTGCCATGAGGAGCAACAGTCCCCAAGCAGAGCACATCCCCATCCATCTAGGGCAACATTTTTTTCCTCTCCACAGCAACAAGTTGAGGAATCAACCTTAAGTGCAGAGAAAAAGGCAGGAGCTGGGAGAATCCTAAATACCCCAGGTTTCATTTCTGAGCCAATATCCTGACTAAATATCACAGGCCAAGGAGAAAACTGCGGCTGCTATTGCTCAGATGTCCCCAGAGCCTTCTGCCTCCTGTGGATCTGCCTGCCTCCTGCTCTGCCCCATTGATGGCTCTGGCCTTCTCCTCCTGTTTAAGCATCTTTCACTAGGAAATTTGCTATTGCCCTCCCCAAGCAGCTAACCACCCAGGGCAGTGTCTGTGTGGCACAGCCACTGTACCTCCTGGGATGTGCCAACTCAGTCAGGTTGTGCCCCTTCTTTTGGTCCTTTGGTTCACAAATTCTTTCAACCCTTTGGGGTTTCTGTAGAAGCAAATTCCTTTTCTCTTCTCTGTTTCTTCCACTCAAGCTGACCCCTCCTGAGGGCCCTTTTATCCTCCTGTATCTCCATTTCCACCTCTTTTTGGCTGTGGTTGGGTTAACGCTTCATTTTCTGTTTGCAGTTCACAGAAATTATGTTGGCTCAGGATGTTTTATTTTAAAAGCAAACCCCCCATACTCTGGTTGCTACCTCAGAGAAATAACTGATGTTAAATAGTGCCATGTCTCTGCTGGGAGAGCTGCTGCAGGGAGCCCACGGGAGGTGGACAAGGGATGTCCCAGGCTTTCTTGTTCAATCCTGAGGGTTCAGCTCACTGTGAAGCAGATGAATGGTTCTGAGTTTAGAAACAGAGCAAGATATGTGTTGTGTATGGTGGCAACACCTCAAAGCAGTGGGAGGCCAGAGGTGCCCTGGAGGTTCTTCAGCACTGCTCCTCAAGATGAGTCCTGCTTCCCCGTCCAAGCTTTGGCAATGTGGAGCTGGGCACAATGTGGAGGTATCACAGCTGCGGGTGCATGGCTTCCTTGCTCCCACCTGCACCTCACCTGCTGGCTGGCACAGCATCATGTGTCTCCTCTGCCTCTCCTCTCCCCTCCCTGGGACAGTGATGCTGGCACTGCACCATTTCCCATATTTATGGCAGTAAAGCTGTAATCTCCCTCGATCCTCAGAAACCTCCAGGAGAGATTGATGGAAACACAGGTCAGCCATTAGTGACCGCTGCATAAATCACCCTTATTAGCCAAGCTCCCTTGGCAAGGCGTGCTGATATATGGACCCGCGAAGTCTGTGAAGCATTAAGGAATCATGACTGCATACCTGGGGCAGCTGAGGATCCCTGCTGCATGAACAGCTTATCTGGACAAGGGCAGCTGGATTCTCCTTCTGGCCCTTCTTTTTGTTGTCTGCAAGTTTTTATCCCTGCCCCAAACCACTTGGTATTTTTTAATCAGTCCCAGACTGTGCTTTGGGCTGGCTACTGAGATGATGAACAGCAGCAAAGGGAAACCCACCTGGGGCAGTGGCTCCCAAAGAGAGGAAGTGCCCTGAGCCTGAGCAGACATCCCTCTGAAGAGGTAAAGGTGTCAGAGTAACCTGTCATGGGAGCATTTCCCAGTGCAGGAGCTGTGGGCAGTCTCTGCCTTTCAGTCCTGTCTGCTCATCTGGAAACCTTAAACAGCAAACGGTACCAAACCCTGATGTACCTGGTCATGTGTACAGGCTGCTGCCATCCCATGGTTTGATTTGAGACCGAGTACGTGCAGGTCTTGCTGTGTGAGGGAGGTTGAGGCCGAGACTCAACGTAGCATGTGGATGATGGTGAAGGGCTTTTTGACACTGCAGCAGTCCTGCTACCTGGTGTGTGCGAGGGCTCGAATGCAGTGGGCAGAGTCCACCTTTGGATGAAAGCAGTGAGGGAAGGGCTGTGGAGATGGCATGTGGAAGAGGATGCTTTGTGGCCAATGAGGACAGAAAAGCCTGTGGGGAGATGAGCTAAATGCTCTCTGTGGACATTTGCCCTAATAGAAATTCAGCAGTCAATGCTGATCAGCAGTAAAGGGCATGGACACTGCTCCTGAATGCTTATTTATGGTGGGAAAGCTGGAGTGGTTATCCCGAGAGTGTCTGTGCATTTGGGAAACATTCAGTCCAAGACTGTCAGATTCACATGGCTATTCATATGGCATTTGGTGCGACTGCTACGGTAAGAGGCACCATGGCCATAGAGCTTCTGTGGATTCCCTGTGTTTGCAGTCACTGACTCACTCTGAATAATGGGCAATGGTATAGAACCAGTCTGTAGATAACTTAGGCACAGCCAAGAGCCTTACATTCACAGGGTGATCTGTCTGCTGCACTAAACATACATATCTGGGAGAGAATGTGTAGCAGTTTCAGTTGTGATGCCTTTCTAGGGCCTTACTCAGGCAAATCTCCTGTGGAGTTCGTGGGGAGCTGGGGCTGGCTGAGGCAGTGTGGTGCTGTCTGTGATGCTGGTCTCAGGATGAGCAAGGCTGGCTCCCATGCACACATGGGCATGCTCCGGTCATGTTCACTTTCTGCTCATTTGCATGGAGATGATGGATGCTGCTACATTTGTGTTTCAAGCACTATGGGGAAAGCTGAAATCTTGCAAAAGCTGTTTTTCTCTGAGCATTAAAAAAAAAAAAAAAAAAAAAGAAAAAAATCAGGAGAAAAGCTAACAAAAAAGGCAAACAAAACCAGATTGGGGAATGTTTTTATTCATGTCAACTTTCGTAAAGCTCTTCTCTCCTCCTGTTCTTCCACCCACCCAACTAGAGTTCTGGCCCCTGCTGAGCATCCCTCATGGGGAGAATTGTCTGTAGGAAGATGGGGTGCAACTGGGGTGTATCTGATTACAGCAAAGGGCTTATTAGAGAGTGCGCAGCTGAGGAGTGAATCTTTCTTTCCTCTTCAGCTACAGCACAAGGCCTTCTGTGCCAGCACTGGGTTAAATGTCCAATTAGTCTCTCACACTTCGCAGTTAATCGCTGTTGTTTGTTGCTGAGTGAGAGCCGGTGGGATCCATTAACTCCTCTTCCTCCTTGTCTGGCCAGCTGGCTTGGGCCAGCTCCAGGTATGCTTTTTGGGGTCTGCCACCATGGAGAAATCTGGCCGTTTTCCTCTTGGGAAGTGGTGTGCTGCGTTCACTGCTTCTAAGCTGATCCATCACCTCGTTTTTTCGCTGGAGAGGGAGGCACAAAGGGAACCATTGGGACAGAGTTACAAAAGCCTCATCACGTTTCACAACACGGCAACTCGCAGGCAAACATGTAAAGCTTTATATAGAAATATAATTAATAATCTAGTAAAAAGCTGCCTCCAGCTAGTGCCGTAATGCAAAACAAGGCTCAAGGGGAAAGAGGCTTTACGAGTGTGGGTCTGAGTTCACGGCTTGCCCTGTACAATGAAGCGCTGCTTGGGTGATGACTGTTCCATAACTAACCACAGCAGCTCATGGGGTTGCTGGATGGGTGCAGGGGAGTTCCCCCATGAGCCCACAGCTCTGGGCAGGAGAAGGGCTCATCTCCCTGACCCTGGAAGAGCCATGGTGTGGAAAGTGTGCTGCTGGCATCCCTGTGGGACACATGCCATGTCCCGGTCAGTCAGCACCATGCCTCCTAGGCAGCTTGCCGAGCAGGAGCAGAGCAGTCCTGCCCAGCAGGTCTATGCAGACAGGATGGTGTGGTGCATGGTAGGAAAAAAACCCTGAGTGGAGCAATCCTGGCTGGAAACACCACTGTGTGCTGCATGCTTCCTCCTTCACTGTGGGGTGATGCTTCTACAGGGGTGGCAGAGAGGTGGGGCTGGACCGCAGTGCTAGCTGCCTGCTCACCCAGGGCTGGAGGGAGGAGCAGACCACTGGAGACAGGCAGTGTCCCTTGGGGAGCAGAAAGACCATGGCGAGGGAGGTGGTGTGGGTGCAGTGGCTAAGGGGCAGATCTGGGCCAGGTCATGGGGGAGCGCTGGCAGCAGCAGCCCATGCTGAGCAGAAGCAGGGAGGGCTGGTGGAGCCTGTGTAATGAGGGGTGAGCTGGGAGATAACCTGCTGAGCTGTCCAGGATGAACTCTGCTTTCAGGTTAGTCCAGAAGCAGACCCAAGGCAAGAGGATAGAGGTAAGGGAAGCCTCGGATGTGCATGACTGCTTACTGCAGTGCTTGGCATTGGGTGTTGAGCATGTGCCTCCTGCTCCAGCCAGCCGTTCCCTGGGATGTGGGAAGGAGCTGAACCCAGCTTCCCTCACCTCTTCATCACCAAGTATAAAGAAGCAGCATCCATCACCTCTTGCAACTTTCTTGGGAGGGGAAAAAAGCAAGTGCCAGGGCATTTTGTCAGGTCCTCATCCTCGCTGGCATGGGAGCAGTGCTGTTACACACATACCCCAAAGGGAGCAGATTGGTAAACTGAGCTTAGGCTGAATTTAGCCAAAAGACTTAAACCTCTGAAAGTGGAGAAGCCTCCCTTCTGCCTTGGGCTTCACGGTGTCCGCATCATGCACTAGAGGTGGCACGAAGGCACATGAGCATTGACTGCCCCAGATGTGCTCGCAACACAAGCATTTATAATGCACCTCTTCCCCCTGCCACTGTACTTGCGGTACCCCCAGGTGAAAGGTGTTTTTTGTCTAAGATGGTTAATGCACCCTCCCACCTCTCCAGCAGCCAGGTGAATATTTTACCATTCCCTGTTTATGGGCACAGAGGGGCACTTGGCCTGCAGTGAGTCAATGTCAAAGCAAGGGTTGTAGGAGCCAGCCCATCCTCTCCTCCACAGCCAGCAGCATCTATTTCTCTCCAAGCAACATCTACCCTGTGTGAGACCAGTGCTATAAAGAACAAATAAAATGCTGTGCAAGGCAAAGGAAATGGCATCATTTAAAAATAGGCAGAAGGTTAGCAGGCACAGGGAGGATAAGGCATGTGTGAATAGATGGTAGGAGAGCTAATAGATGAGACCCAAAGGGCTGCAGCATGTAAGGCAGTACCACCAAAATCATCCAAGTGCCTAAGTCAGAGGAAAACCTGTCTTCTTACCTTAACTAAAGCCTGTCCCAGGCAGGTGCCCAGGATGCAGATGGGCTCCACATCTCCATGCTCCTGAGGGACTGGTTGGTTGATTGATTGATTTCTGCAGCACCATTGTGAAGCCCTGCACACCGATTCATCACAAGCAATTAGCTGGGAGTGCTGTGCAGCTCTGAGCGACAGCCCGCCTGGCTCCCTTCAGACTGCTCCGATCCGTCCCCGTACGTCCCTGGCTGGGTGAGGCGGATCACAGGGAGCACTTGGAGATACTCCCAGGGCTTCGAGTCTCCTGGGGCGAGGGAGCAGAATTGAGGGATTTTTCCACCGTTTAGGAGCGTTTGCTCTGCCAGCCCTGCAGGCATGGCCTGGGGCATGTTGCCTATCCAAATTAGGCCACTGTCAGGTTTTGTCGGCTGAGGTTTCATTTAATTGTCTTCATCATGCTCTCTCACAGCAGCCTTGTGTGGATGTTCAGCCCAGGATGCAAAACATCTGGGTAGACCATCGTGATCCCTGGCTGAGCTCTTAACACTGATTTGCCATGAATATTCAGGCGTGTGCGATGCATCGAGGATGCTGTTGCAGTCAAGGATCATGGACTCTTGACTCAAACCTTAGCTCTGCTTCCCTGGTAAACAAGCCCTTGGCTACCTTGGACAAATAATTTCCCTTCACCTCAGCCTCCAGGTGAATAACTGGGAAGATGGGTGAGCAGAGAACTTGCTGCTCTGCACAACTGGGTGCGTAGAACCCCAGTTCAGGGCTTGTCAGGGATAATAGCATTGCTTTTCTCTGGCAGTTGCTGGCTCACTTTGCTTGGACCAAGCTTACCTTTCTCCATCTTTGCTATTCCATCTGTGAAATATGGGAAACAAGCTGGTTTCCAAAAGAGTTGTTGTGATATAAGTAAGGATCTCAAAAATGGGTCCTCTCTGTGTGTGTCAGGACTGCTTGTCAGAAATATTTTGTCACGGCCACACTTACAAAGATGAGTATTCTGAGATGGGATTGACACATGTGCATGAAGCTGGAGGTGGGCAACGTTGGGGAAAAGGATCATTCAGCAAGGAAAAAACGGTAGTAAGAAGGAGTTTAGTTAAGTTTTCATGAATGGCATTTATTCCCCAATGTGATTCGAAAGGGCAGCATCCAGACATCAGTGTGGAGCTTGGCTGGAGCAGGCTGTCCATAATGAGACCCCCTGAAAGCTGGGGCTGCCTTCACCATGGCAGGGGGTGATTTCAGCCTGACCCCCTTGCCCAGGCAGGGGCCATGACCACTCCCCTCTCCTGCTGACTCTCTGCTCTGAGAGCCTTGGTTTGTGGCCACATGCTTGGCGTGAAGGGAGACCTGGAGGCAGGGAAGGTCCTCAGTGGTGATTGATGCGTTCTGCTCTCCAGCTTGGCCTTCTGTTCCATTGCAGCCTGGCCAGCCCTGGTTTCCCACCTCACTCCTGCTCCCAGTGCATGGGAACAGCTGGATGGAACCAAATTTTCACTTGCCTTTGAAGAGCCAGCGGGTCCTGTAGCCAGCAAAAACATTTACTGAAAAAATAGTAATAGATCCTTTTCCCTTTCATCAGGGTGAGGAAGGCAGCTCTGATGTTGACGTTTCTTACCCAAGATTCAGGAATTGCTGTCTTTAAAAATCAGAGCCGGGTGTGTTTGCAAACTGGACGGGCATCTGACACCCATCAGGCCCTTGGAAGCAGCCCAGGGCTTGCAAGGAAGTCCTTTGGCTTCGCTGGCTGTGGTGGGCTTCGGATGGTTATTTCTCTGAAACCAATGCTTCTGTTTAGTGGTTTTCCCTTAATAAGAGATTTTCCTGCTGCAAGAATGTCATCACTGAGGAATTACTGCTGGGCCTCGTCTTTGCATCTTTCAAAACTTGTCTTCAGAGGCTGTTTCCATGAGCTCCTGAGTTCAGCCTCTCCAGGGCAGCTGCAGCAGCTGGGTCCTTCCTGAGCCTGAGATTCACCTGGCTGAGAATGTGCAGCGGCACGTGCAGGATCTTCCTTGGCTCCTG